AGGCTTCATTCTCCGCTACGAAAGTTGCAAGAAGGACGAGTGTAAAAGCCAGCAGAAATTTAGCGTTCATGTTGGAATAATTTTGCGACAGTTTGTTCCTCTCGTATCGCTGAGTTTTAAAGGAGAGATGCCAACTTCTAAAGCGACCGCATTTTATTCCCCCTTAGAAATGTCAACACAAACACTTCAGCAGTAATTTTCTTGACCGAACCGGAATTGAAATAAAATGAAGCTCTAATTAAAAATCTATAATTGTTTTGGCTGTTTGAGCATAAACACTTTTACGTAATCGACGCCGACGATTCCGGCCTTTTAAAGATATGAAATCAAAAAATGATTAAGGATGTTTTCCGCCTTTTACTGATGTTCAATAAATTTTTTAAACATGATTTTATTACTAAGAAGTCATTCCTTTGCTTATCGTGTTGCACAAAGTCGATGCAGTCATAGATATAACAGAAGATTTCGAGACTGAGGATGGATTTAATTACTTCTCTTAGAAAATTGTTTCACCCATTATTTCCGTGGAGTAAGACGAGCCATTCTAAATTCCGTTTACATATAGTTGTATGTTGTCACTGTCGGTAAACATTCTACGGATTATTGAGTAATACCCTATCTTCTCTAGAAAACGAAAACCGTGTTTCGAAACAAATTCACTCATCCACCACAGAATTTCTTTATTTCTCTTTGACCAATTTGGAAAAAAAATTGTTTCCTGTTTTTAAATGCAATGATCTGTACACGAACGCTGTTTGAGTAAATGTGGCCACCTGGAATATATTTTATGTACTTGGGTTTATTAATGTACCCGCTCAAATCAACTGCCACCTTTTTGCAACTATCGTCACTCTTGATATTGACGTGAGGGGAAAAACTCTCTGGGGCCAAAGAGTGAGAAGGAATCAGATCTTTTATTCAGTTTACTATCTGAACCCACAAACTAATGCTCATCCAGATAAATACAAAGTTTTCTTTAATTTTGTGACGTTAAAAGAGGTTTGCCATCTACATCTTATTTCCTCATTTTTCATAAAATTATACAATATATATGCCCTGCTTTCCTCACGTTTTTACGTGTGAAATCAAACCGATTTTAAATTTTAACTATCCTAGATTAACGTCGCTGTCTTTCCTCAAGTAGCGAACTATTGCATTATTACTTTGGTAGCTTTCCTATCCTTTGTAAAAAAAAACGAAGGAAATGATAAAATGGTGGCAGAAGTGACAAAAAAAAGGAGGCGAATGTATTCAAACTTAATTTCTATTTTGACAGGAACTCAAGAATGGTGCGAGCATTTTTAAACTTTCTGTAAAAATCAAACTTCCTATTCAATTCGCGTCATTCGAACGGAAATTACAAAATTGAATGATTATTTTTCTAAACTGAATACGAATATTGTGCATTTAAATCAAAATAAATAAGAACCATCACCATTTGGAGAAAGCTAAATTAAAGTTGTCAAGTTTTAACGGTTGGTGGTCGAACAATAACAAATAATCTAAAGAGAGGTCTTCAATTATTATTTGTTTTTAAACAGGGGAAGTTAATAATAATGACTTTCAATTTTTCCTGAACAAAATTAAAAGCTTATTAAGTTATGAGTACACTTTTCTTCATGAAATTGTATGTTTTGAAATAGATCTCTATTAATTTTTGCTTCTAATTAAATGAGTAAACCTTTGATCTGATGCTGACTATAGAACTGATTTTCCACGAGAGTTAGTTTAACTTCACTGAACAATCTTCTTTTGAATTTTGAAGAAGCTCACGGTTTAGGAATTTGAATACACTCGACGGCCTAAATCTTGACACCTGAAAAGCATGACCCACGAACGATGACGCCGCACGACTCAAAAGGAATTGTTCGTATAGTTCCATGGTCAGAAATTTCTTTTCCGATTATTCCCGGGAAATATTTTTTTTAAGAAAATCTTTTTTCTTTCAGGAAAGCATGGATAGCTTCCATCATTCACCGCGTGCAATTAATGTCTGTTATCATGAACATGTATAGCAAAAAAACCGCTTTTTAGATGTGAACGTTTTTGCTACTGAGTGTGGGTTAGGTTAATCGTGTCTGCAGTCTTCTTTAGTCGTGCAAAAGCACCGAGTAAGTGCAAGCGAAGCACATCAATTTTATCAATTCCTCACTTAAGCGCGTTCCACCTGAAAAAGAAATAAAGTTAAGAAAACGGAGTAGCAATAATTGTAATGCATTGATCGTTGTACCTTACTCATTTTGTTTTGCTTACGTCTTTTGTATGTTCCTAATGTGGCATGCAGTTGTGGAGAGGTTTGACAGTAATATCTAAGTCTATTCCTAGTAGTTTAGTTATCACAGACCCCAAGAGAATATCAATATTTTCTTACAGTCCCTGAAAGCTGTTTCCGCCTGAGCACAACCCCTAAGTGGGGGAGAAAACGCTGTAAATCATGTAGACACATACTTCACAGGTTTTGACAAATGCACAAGAGAATAAAAAACATGAGATATGTGAGCACTATTAGTATTCATTGCTGTGTAAGCATAATCTAGAATGTATTTTCTGTTCGTATGACAAAGGCTGATGCGCTATGATAGTAAAAGAGATTATAACGTAACCTTGTTAATTAAAACGCCTGAAAAGCATGTTTTATACAAGTTTCTTAAACCGTCGGATAAAAAAAACCCTGGTTTACAAGGATAAAGCGTGAAGACAAAAATATGCTTTAAAATTTGAGAGAAGAGTTGATATCCTCATGTTGAAATTGTATTACTTACTATAAAATTATGTTAAGCATCAAGGCAAGAATCGACTGGGATATTACAATTCTACATAAGACATGAAGATGAATGCATAAGAGATGGACCTGGACACGCTCTCTGGACGCGTTCCGGTCCTGACTAAAAATAAATTGAAAAGAACGTGAACAAAAAATGGAAAGATAATTTGCATGAAATAGGATAAACAAAAGGGTAGTAGAGGAAGCAAACTTTTAAAACTTAAAGAGCTATTAGTAATAGACATGACAGGTAATGGGCTCTTGGTACGATTACAAGAAAATCAGTATAGTCACAAGTTCACTCAGAGGTCGTAGAAACGAACTTCAGGCTGCGGACAGAACGTGATTTTCTTTTACAGTACGAAGCTAGATAATGCAATTACGTTATTTACAATATTTATGTTTTGTCTTTTTTAAAAATTACTAGAAACGTGTGTGTCAAAGCTAGGTTTCGTTTTTTATGGTCTCAATAAACTGCACTGCATTGTAACTTTACAAAACTTTTCCTCTAAAACGCCTCTTCAAAATTTTCTTTTTCAACTGATCGGTCTTGGAATTTGACTGAATATACACTGGCTGAATAGCGTCACAGTCAACACTCCTCTTTCCTAATTCAAGGCCTTTTGTTCTCATCTCACGCTTACTCGAACCTTTCCTTCAAAGTCCAAGTTATGTGTGGATCGCATGCACAATCGTTTCTCTACAGACGTGGATCTCGTCATCTCCGACGAGGCATCGGGAAAAAGACGGAATTTTACCTTTTTAGAATTATTTAGGAGGCGGATTCCCTTCTCCTGGGATTCCTTGACTAAACTTTTAGAAATAATTGTATGAACGTTTGTCTCTCGACTTGGTTACTTCCCGTGTGGATTGCCACTTTACAACTGCAATGCCAGTCTAAGCTTCTTTAGGCGATGAGGTAGACTAAGTACGAGTCATTTGATTCCGTGGCAGTGTTAGCATATATGAGGTGGTGCCTGTAAGTGACTTTATCAAAGGTCATTAAGCCCGGTGGTAGGACGTCTGTTATCCTTTGCAATGCCCGAATCAAATAAATAATTGAATCTAATATTTCAGCCTGGTCTTCTGCCACTACTTGAGTTTGCTCACCTACTTTCAGCTTTTTGAGGAACAGACTCCGAAAACCGCGGAAAAAATTGTGGCCATGATTGAGTTGAACTGATAAACATAGGATTGCATAAAACGATGGATTTTTTTCTTGGGTTTGGAATAGTCAACTAAATGGCGATAGCACTAATTGATGGATTGGACTCATATTTTGGTTGCTAGAGATTTCCTACAACGGCGTGCCTCATCCTTTTTGCGATTGGCGCATTTTGAATGAATTTTGAATAATGTGAATTTACGAACCTTTAAAATTAATTTAAACTACGCTGTACTTGAGAAAAGATGAACAATGCAGCGGCAAACACCCTAATAATCGTCTTTTGTCAATATTTGAACAGTAACAAGACTACAGTTCTTGATCAATAACGTTTTCAATTTATTTTTCAAGTCTAGTGGCAAAAATTCCTTTTCTGTTATTGTTAGCTTAAGCAAGTTTTTCCTCTACCTAAGTGCTTAAACAGTTTAAAAGTATATAAAAAATACCAAGTGAGGGATAGAGCGCGATTGCTAGCGCTGTTTAGAGATTAATTTCTCGTTGAAGCTGGTTGTCAAACACAAATTCCACCGTGGTACAAAACTCAGAACAGCTTTAATTGTTACTTGATTACTTTGGCTCTGTAACAGAGAAAAACTGCTCACAGAAGGTAAACTTCGTGTGCAGATTATAAAAAAGTAAATGTAGCTTGGAAGTTGTAGAGTATTCATAGGTCAAGTGACTCCTTTCATTCCTCTGATTCAACTGTCCTTTATTCAATAATCAATATAGTATATCTACAATACAATACTTCTAATTAGTTATTTTATTTTTACTTAGGAAAGTAGATTTATGACACAATTGAGTAATGGGAAGTTTCCTTACTGTGGTAACGCTTTTTACTCGATACACCTCAGAAGTGTTTCAAGACTTATTTGTTTCCCTTCACAATTTCTCTCTTTACTAATTTCACTTCACTCGGGAGGTTGGGAGAACTCTCGAAAGTTATGCAAACCCGAAACGCAGTCGTGGGTTTGCATAACTTGCCTGAATTCTTCCAATCCCCATCGGGCATGTAATCAACCGTGAAAAGTGTGCCAAGCCTTATTTATTTCACTCCCCAATCAAGTTCAGGGTACTATAGCACAAAAGTCATCCGACAGCATTGTAAAATCAAGTTAATAAGGACGGAATCACATCCATAATAATATTGAAAGAGGAAGATAACAGTTTTGATATTGAGAATGTGGCAAATCTGGGGACGCTCGGTATCGCAACCGCGTTCGAATTGTGTGTCTTCGAACCTACTTGTCGTGTTGTGTTTATTTGCGATATTTGCAGCTGTTTTGGGCCAAGATTCGTGTAGTGTTGGACCTTGTTATCCTTCTCCTTCGAACATTTCAAAGTATTCTAATGTTACGGCGAACTCAACTTGCGGTAACCCGTCAGAGCCATACTGCGTTAACTTGGATTGCACTAACGTTTGCAATGCGTCCGACGAGAATCGTAAACATCCTGCTAATTTTGTAAACGATGACTTTAGAGAAAAAACATTCTGGAAGGCAAAAAACTACGAGTTTCCTGTGGTTCTACAGCTAGAGGTTCGAAGAACTTTCATGCTGTATCAGTCTATGGTAACTTTTTTTCACGAGTTACCGGCTGCAATGTACCTTTTGAAGTCAAATGACTCTGGGAGAACATGGAATCCTCTAACCTACTTTGCAACGAACTGTACAAAATATTTTAATCTACCAGAAACGCCTGAGAACGAAAGTGAGGCTTTGAAAATCCAATGTTTCAAAATAGACACCGCTACAAATCTCAACAAGCAGGTAAGCTTTTTTATAGGACATATTTATTTTGTAGATGCTGCCGTTGGGATTAACTCGCTGTTGTCGGTGCCAAAATTTCCTCGAGTTTTTTATGGAGTATGTTGCTTTATAAACTGCCATAGCAATGGTGAATTATATGAGCAATCGTATTTACATCAACCACCTGCAGATAGAGAGTATGTTTGAAAGAAGTGGTTAATGCGTTTACTTTAACCTAGAATTGTGCTTGCAGAGGTTTCCCGTACAAGAGAAATGTATTTAGCTAGCTGTGAACTGCATATTCAAACACTTAAGTTTCTAATCCTTCTTACCTTAAAACAATATGTAAACGAAACCATCTGAGGAAGGCTCTCGCGACTTTACGCGCCTCGACCCCAGCCCACTCTTTAAGTTTTCCTGGGGAAGTGGGTTGGGTTAGAACCGGGTCTGCATTTAACCCCCTTGGTCTGCACTCTTAAGTCTACATTTTAATCCCGGTCTGTAATCCGCGGTCTGTGTTTTATACTGACCGGGATCGCATTACCACTTTACTTTGCCAAATTTTGATTGACAAAAAATTGATTGGAAAGGTTCTATGTAATATTTTCTCTTATATTTCACCACAAATCCACTCAACATTCAATTATTACTTAGTTCATTAATGTGGTTCGACAAAGGGATTCATACGAAGTCAGGAAAAACGCAAAACCAACTCAACTCTGGAGTTTATCAAACACTCAACTGAACCTTACTTGTAGAGTTAAGAGCAAGACTGCAGAGGCAATTAATTAATTTGTTTTGCACATGTACTGTTCCCCTGTAGTAAAGGTTAATGGAGTAAAGGAGAAGTGTTAATGCTATAAATCTTTGAGCAAATATTAAAATATGTCTCGCAAAGCAAAACCAACTCAATTCTGGATTTTACTCAACACTTAACTGAACCTTGCCTTTAAGGCTAAGACTGATTAGACTGCAGAGGGAGATAATATGTTTTACATACAGTGTACATGTAGGGTTGCCCTGTATAGTAAAGTAATGCAGAAATGGAGGAGTGTTAATTTTATAAATCTTGGAGCAAATATTAAAATATATCTCTCTCTCTTGTAGCTCTTTTATACTCCAATGCAAGATCCAGCTGCAGCACTAAACCTTCTCACTGATACAGAGAAACAGGCCTTCTTTCTTATGACTGATATAAAAATGGTTCTAGTCAAGTTTATAATTCCTAGTGGGGTTGACACATTAACAGATAGTCTCAGGAGAAGCTTCTTCTTCACTGTGTCAGATTGGGACGTGTTAGCATCTTGCTTTTGCAATGGCCAGGCATCACAGTGTGATTCAGATGTAAGTACAGTGTTGAAATTCAAGTGTTTTTCTCTTCTAGTTTAATGTAAAGTTCTGTAGCCATATGTTCTGCAGAAACATGGTCATCCTGACCAGTTTAGTCAAAATCAAAGTGATTAATATGTTACCACCATCCACCCTCTCCCCTCCCCCCTCCATAATGTTAAGTGGCATGAAGAGCAGTATATGTGCACCCAAGTAAAGCCCCATTGAACAAAGTTGATAATGTTATGCACAGTCACTGAAAGAAATGCATGGAAATAGAAATTAAGGTTCAGGATTAAAGGTCTTAATTAGTTTCAAGTACTACAAATTGCTCTTGCCCTAAGGGCTAGTATGATTTTGTTGTCTGTGAAAAATTATCTCCCATTTTTTGCACAGAAAATTTACTCTTGATTATTTACACCATATTGCATGACATTAGTACAGAAAATAAAATGATTTCAAGTGCAATTTTGTGTTAATAAGCACAATTAAATTTTTCAAAGACAACAAAATTGCATGAGCCTGTAGGGCAGGTGCAATTTGTAGTCTTCGAAAAATCTACAAGTGCTTATTACACCAAATTGTGAGAGAAATCATGTTATTACTTGTTAAAAAATGTATATGCACCAACTTATGCGCTTTTGTTTTCAGCCAAACAGAAGTGCATAATTTTGTACTGTTTATTAATTATGACATTGAAATACTGTTAAACCTGAATTTGTGTGTCATCTATGAATAGAAATGTGTGTATGTCTGATTTTACTACGATATCATTGATATCATATTACATGTAAATTCTTAGGACTTCTCCAAGTGCATATGTGAAAGGAATACTGATGGTCCAAACTGTGAAAAGTGTTTACCACTCTACAATAACAAACCTTACCAGATACGAGAAGCATGTGAAGGTGAGATCACAAGATCTGCAACACTGTTCAAAGTTTCTTTTCAGTTGGCTTTGCTTTTGGTTTTTTGTTGCTGTTTATTCAAATTGATGGAGCTTTTGGTGATAATTTCCTCAAAATTCTTAGATATTTTGCCAATGTATTTGAGAAAAATTTTGTGTTGATCTAGATGATGAGAAAATGCTGAAAAAAGATGACAGTTTAAACACTGCCATCAATTTTTCAATCTTGGTTGAAAAATTCTTTATCTAGGTCCATTCTCAAATTCTTTCAATTCCTGTTAGAGTAGAATTAATTAGGGGTAGGGCATAATTAAAAGTGTATTAATCAACCTAGATTTAAAATGTTTAACCCTGCAATTTAAATTTCATTACAAGGTATCTATACACCTCTATAGCAAATATCCTTTTATTGATTTAATTTTTTTTAGCCATATTACTAATTAAAATGTTTTCAGCATGTGAATGCAACAGTCATGCTGACAGCTGCTCCTACAATGAAACAAAAGGATATGGAGTTTGTAATGATTGCAAGCACAACACAACAGGGGATATGTGTCAACTTTGCAAGAAAACCTTCTACAAAAACTCAGCTGTATCACAGAATGCCTCCCATACTTGTCTGGGTAAATACCTTTATTTTGATGATAACCACTCTGTGTACTGTATGTACCTTGTAAACTCAAATGTCTGTCATGAGGCTTGTAAAATAATATATACTAATGCAATTATATACTATCACTAGATTTAGAGTACTTTGAGCAATGGTGATCTTCCTTTTAGGTGATAACTGGTAAAATTCATTGCCTGTGGTTCCTCTTACAATAGATTAAAATAGCTTGAAATTCTTGAAAATTCAACAAGTTAATTGTTCCAGCAATTTTACCTTTCATTCTTGACATGAGGAAGAACACTGGATCTGTAGAGAAAATCAATTTGAAAGATTTTTTTGACTAGCTTAATTTTGTAACTGAGGAACTTATAGAAATGTAAAAATGCAGCCACATTAAAAGTATGTTGTAGCTCTTCATATTTTTTCAGCAAGCTCAAGAATTGTGATGGTATACTTATTACAGCTGAAAGTTATTTTTTCGATAGATTGGATAATTTTAACTAATTTTGTATTACCCTTCCACTCCCAAATGCCATTAGTTATTCTCCTTACTGTCTGCTATACAATTCATATCGTGTTAGTTTGGAGTCAATTAGGTATAAAATCAATTAGTGATCCCCTAATTGATACTTTTCTGTATTCTCATCACTTGTCTGCTTAATATTATATTGATATTGTGAGGAAAATTCTATCTTGGTTACTGAGTTGAAGGATTAATTATTGCCAACTTGTTGCCAGCATTGAGTTTGTGACCTGAAATATCATTTAACAAACAACACAAACTGTTGAGTAAACAATTGAAGGTTGATCTTGACTGTGTTTTTAAAAGAGCTGAATCATGCTTCAAACATGTGCTGAAACTTGTATCAGAAGTTAGTTATGTGTACAGTACTGTGATATTTTGACTGGATCTTTCTATTTTACATGAATTTAGAATGCCGCTGCAATTTAACTGGAACAGTCAATAGTTCCAATGTGTGCAACAAGATAACTGGTCAGTGCCCCTGTAAACAGCTACTCACAGGAAGGACATGTGACCAGTGCCAAGTGAGTCTATTATTTCATGTGCAAATATTTTTTTTATTATAAGAATAAGCAAACTGATGTCTACAAAAACAGTTATAAAAAAAGGTTTGCCTGTTTTATGTACTGTGGAGCTATATAATTTTGAATTCTGGTTAAGGCAGGGAGAGGGGGGCACTTTTTTTAAGGAGGGATTCATTTGAAGTGAGGTGCAAGTTCAAGTACTTTCTGAACAGAAGTAGTTTGATAACTGAAAAATAACACATTTTTCACATAGGATGGATACTTTGGATTGACATCTGAAAACCCTGGCTGTACTGCATGTTACTGTGACCTGGCTGGCTCAGTAAATACCTCATGTTCTTCATATGGGAAATGTTACTGCCGCCCAAAGTTCTCTGGGGAGAAATGTGACAAGATTGATGAAGGCTTTTTTGTCCCAAGTGTAGATTTTATGACATTTCAGGCTGAGGATGCTACACCCATAACTGTAAGAAGTGTTAATCATTATTCTGCATGCTGCTATGTGTCTAAATAATGAAGATTGTTTACATTTAGTGAATGTTAGGGCCTAACAGGAAATTAACTTTTGATCAGTTGGAGCACTAATTCATCAAATGGTTTGGGAACAATCTCTCAACTATTTTCATCTATTTTATGCCTGTAAAGCAGATTAATATTGTTGTTTAGTATTCTTGTGATTTCTTCCCTCACCCTTGATAAGTGAAGAATGTTGGGTGAAATGAGCAAGCTGAGACCAAATAAGTCACAGTAAGGCTGAAGCACCTCTCTTCACTGTTTGGATGGCATGAAAAATCAAGGCAAACAAAGGAAATCTCTACTATGAGCAGTGTGTCTTATTCGGTGTTCTGATTACCATTTTTAACTGCACATTGCAAGAGCAAAGGGAGGAGGAAGTTCTCTTTCTGAAGCTGTGTGGGTCCCCCAGGAAGATTATGTGCTTAGTCATGATGGAGCAGGTGGATTTAAGGCCATGAATGACCATTTGGTCTCCTTGTTTATTCTGCTACAGTAGAGATGACTCTAGACTTTATGGATTGAAACATCTTTGTACCAACTGTGTAAAAGTTGTTGCTGCGTAAGGGTCCTTGCTCTCAGCTCCAACAAAAACCTTGATGTTATTAAAGATAATAAGGTTTTTCTTGCTGCACAGTATATATTAAGTGCTGGTAATCCTTGTTCAGAGAAACTTTGTGGTAGACTTGGCTCATGTTTGGATTTTTTAATGTTGATTTTGAAAGATTCTTTAATGGAAAGGGGTTTTCAATCATGGAATTGAAAATTGAAGAGTATTTTTCAATCAATTTAATCATTAATCCTACTAGCTGTCACTAATTTCAAAATATTTTTTTTTTTTGCACAGCCACAAACAAAAACAATCAGTCATCAAGAAGTTGTTAATGCAGCTGGAAACAATGTTCTTATGGTTGGTGTGGTATTGAATGAGGGAATGAATAATACTGCACCAACTGAGCTGGAGTTCATTGTCAACATTCCCAAAACAGGATATTTTAGTTTTGTCCTGCGTTACATGGTGAGATGTTCCTCCCTTGGGCAAGATATCATCATAAATGATTATTGTTCATTAAATTGAAAATAGTTTTTTACTCATTTACCAAAACTCAGTAGTATGGAAGGGGTGTTTGTTTCATCCTGTGGACCTGAGAGGCTCAAATTAAAAGTTTTTGACAAATGTTTATAGAATGCTGAAATTTTTTTTTTTTTCAATCAGCATTTTGTATTTTGCAGACTGGTTATAACTGGAATTTGGTTAAGATAACTGCTTTGCTGCGGACAGCCTTTGTGCCCTTCACATGCAACAACATTAATCAAATCACTAAGAATGAGCCTCTTATCCTGACTGGGACAGTGTTGTCTGGAAGTGACGCTCATGATTATGGAAGTCACTGTTTATTAGCGGGTCAGTACAGTGTAAAACTTCGAATACCTTCTGGAAGTGCTCAACAGGGTTTTCTGGCCACTGGAAGGAAAAGAAGGGCATTGCATAATGCAGACATCATCGTTGACTCTGTAAGTTATTATTCATAATCTTCAACTTGTTGCTATGATTGTCGTAAGATAAATATTCTCTGTTAGCTTGTTTGGATGCTGAAGTGGGCTGAACATCACTTTTTCCTTGGTTATTTTGGTTTCATACTACAAAGTAAAGTACATCTAAATCATAGAAAGCTATCTTGCTGTACATGTAAGTGCTATGGGCTATCTGGAAAGCAACTTAGTTTCTGATAATTGGGACAAATTTTAATTAGTCTCACCAAAACCCAGAGTTTTTTTCTTAGGAGAGACATCTGTACTGTGTGGTTTTCTTAGCCAGGTTACATATACATAATGAAGATAAATAGCTAGAATGAAGTATATTTACTTACTATCCCATCAAGGAGGTTTGATAATAGGACAGTGCAGAGCAGCAGCAAAACAAACAAAACAGTTCACATTTGCAAAGAGTTCAAGTCCTAAGGAATTGACTTAGACAACAACATGGCCTACATGATGTTATGTGAAAACCATCTCCACTAGTAGATCATTGTAAATAGAATAAGAGAGATGATAATTTTTGAGCTCGTTAAAGAGATAGAGAAATATGTTTTTTGTCCTGTCACAAATGTGGGACAAAGAAAAAATTCTGAGTCCCCATAAGGAATCAAACCTCAGACATTCAGATACCACACTCCAATGCTCTACTGCTGAGCTACAGAGACTTAATGGTGAGTGAGGTCTATTACAAAGTTCTTGTGATACATGTGCTGCATACTGCTAGGATCAGCAATGTTGGTAGCGTCATGTTTGTAAATAAAATAAGAGAGATGGTAAGTTTTGAGCTTGGTAAAGAGACAGGGAAAGACAACTTTTTTTTATTTTTTCTTTGTTCCACACTCGTGACAAAAACTAAAAACATCTTTCTATATCTCTTTACCAAGCTCAAACCTTACCATATCTCTTATTCAATTTTCAAGCATGACAAGCTGTCGACATTACTGATCCTAGCAGTATGCAGGACACATGTCATATGAACATCGTAATAGACCTCACTCACCATAGAGTCTCTGTGGCTCAGTAGTAGAGCATTGGAGCACAGAATCTGAATTCCTCATGGGGAATCAGAATTTTTTCCTTGTCCTGCGCTTGTGACAAGACAAAAAACATCTTTCTCTGTCTCTTTACTGTGCTCAAAACTTACTATCTCTCTTATTCTATTCACAAACATGATGCTATCAACATTGCTGATCCTAGTAGTGTTTAGGACAGGCGTCAAATGAACATTGTAGTAGATCTCCCTCACTGTAGAGTCTCTGTGGCTCAGTGGTAGAGCATCAGAGCACAAAATCTGAATTTCTCATGGGGACTCAGAATTTTTTCCTTGTCCTGCGCTCGTGACAAGACAAAAAACATCTTTCTTTGTCTCTTTACTGAGCTCAAAACTTACTATCTCTCTTATTCTATTCACAAACATGATGCTATCAACATTACTGGTCCTAGTGGTGTTTAGGACAGGTGTCAGATAAACTTTGTAATAGACCTCCCTCACTGTAGAGTCTCTGTGGCTCAGTGGTAGAGCATTAGAGCACAAAATCTGAATTTCTCATGGGGACTCAGAATTTTTTTATGTTTGTCCCATGCTCGTGACAAGACAAAAAACATCTTTATCTCTTAAATGAGCTCAAAACTTACCATTTCTAGTATTCTATGTACAGAAATGATATTATTGACATTAGATCCTAGCAGTGTGCAGGACGTGTGTCATACTGAACTTCATAATAGACCTCCTTCACTGTAGTCTCTGTGGCTCAATGATAGAGCATTGGAGCAGGGAATCTGAAGGTCTGAGGTTTGATTCCTCATGGGGACTCAGAATTTTTTCTTTGTCCCATGCTCGTGACAAGACGAAAAGCATCTCTCTCAAGTAGATAATTGTTGAAACATAAAATTGATGTCAGTAATACTTATTTGTAACACAGGTTTTAGTCATGCCGACTGTGTCTGAGTATGATGTATTCAAGGAAGCGTCTGCTGAAGTTCAAGAAAACATGACGTTTTACTACAATGCATCATCATCCCTGAAAACCTGGTCAGCAAACTCTGAGGCAGGAAGTCGTGCACTTGCACCAGTGTTTGGAAGCATTTTTGGAGAGGGACAAGGTAGCATTGATACTAACAAAGATAAGAAAAACTGTAACAAAATATCATCTAGAACTGCTGCAAGAGACAAGGCAGCTATCAAAATAAAGTGAATATCGACTTCAGTAAACTATAGAGAATAATTTACATGTAATACCAATAGACAAAGGGATAGATTGCATATCAAGGAAATTTTGGCTCATACTACTCCAGCTATACACTTATTCAGCATATCACCTATCGATGTTTATGGTTTTAACCCAGAAATCTCTCTTTAAGTAGGCTTTAGTCACCTTAATGCAAAATTTACAGTAAAAAAAAACTTTAGACCATTTATGTGCAATTGATATTTGTACTTAAACTTGTATGTTTTTTCAGCATGTAACTGTAGCTCTGTGGGGTCAAACAACCCTGATGAATGTGACAGATATGGTGGCCTATGTTCTTGCAAGCCTAATGTGATTGGTCACACTTGCAATCAGTGTAGACCAGACTATTTTAACTTCACCTCAGGTCAAGATTATAAAGGTAAAGAAGTTAAATAATGTGCATGTGTTTAGAATAAACCCTAGATTAATACATATGTGTTCCTTAGGAAAACATTGAGCTGTCGTAATGTCACTTTCAAGCAAAACATTTCTCAAAATAAGAATATTTTAAACACCTTCATTATGATATTCACAAACACTCAATCTTTACCTCTGTCAATTATTGAGTATGGAGTTTGAAAGTTTGATATTTAGCCCCCAAATATTAGCAACTTGCTGCAAATTCAGAGTTTTCTTGGATAGAAATGCCTGATTGAAACAGACTATGAGGGCGAGAAGTTCAGAAACGGCATACTTTATTCCCACCTCTATGTCAATTTTGAATGAATGATGATTTCTCTGCTTTTCCTTTTTTGAAAATAACAACTTACATGAGCATGAATTTTTATGTACATGAATATTAGTGTCAAACCAGATATTTTACAATTTTATTGTTATTTGTACAATATCTGTACACTGTAGCACTGTGGAAGTGCAATCAGAGTTTTTGCTCATCATATTTTCTTCTTTTGTTTATTTCACAGATTGCAACTGTAACATGACTGGTGCAAATGTATTTGTTTCTTTTAGGTTGTATATCCTGTGACTGTAACCTTGCGGGAAGTGCCAGCCCTGTCTGTGACAAGACTACAGGCCAGTGTCCTTGTAAGGTTCAGTCACTAGGCCGTCAGTGTGACATGTGCCCAGCTGGTTATTATGGCTTAAGTGTCCAGAATCCTCAAGGTTGTTTGAAGTGTCAGTGTTCAAATAAATCATCTGACTGTGTTACTGACCCAGGATGGTTTTTCTCAACTCTTGACACCCCTCTGTCGGTGTTTAATGACAATGTTGATTTGGATGGTTGGAGTACTATAGAAAGTGCAGGAAAACAAGTCAACCCAGTCCTGGACTGGGATATTACTGTAAACATTGAGAAGTGAGTGTTTACATTAGGTTGTTGTATTTATATACATGTAGTGTAGTATACAAGTCATGTGACCCTCTGCTATTAACTTTGGTAGTGTGTGCACCAGTAAATTGTAATTTGAAATTATGGTGTACTGGTTGTCCTCTGAAGGGAAATTGAATAAAGGTGTGATCATTCTCATTTCACCTTTTGGGCTTAAATTAAAGTAAATTTTCTCTTCTCCTTCCCTTTGCATGCCATTCACCTAGCCTATGTCACTTAATACAGCAAAATCCGATTCATCAAGAAACTAGGCAAATTGAAAACCCCTCTTAGAATGTTTGGCTGATAACAGCTAAGAGGTAATATCACTTTAGTATAACATGTTCATATCTGGAATACCAGGAAAGTTTGCACTTCTAAATGAATGTTAAAGGCATGCTCAATTTATACCATGTTGGTGTAGCACTTTTTGTCTCACTGTTTGTAGACCTTTACACCAACTAGATGAAAAGACCTTGACAAACTGGTTTATACTGAGCCTTACAATTGTCTGCTTTATTTTCATCAGGGGATCTATAAGGGTTGACACTCAAGGCTCAGATGATATCTATTTTGTTGCTCCTGACAAGTACCTTGGGGACAAAAGATCTGCTTATACAAATGCATTGTCATTCCATTTACAACAGGACAATGCATCCAGCCCTGCAACATCCTCTAATGGAGATGTTATCCTTGAAGGCAAGTGGTTTGATGAACCTCTTGTCTCAAGTCTTGATGCTGCTCCACCAGGTGGAGACAATTTTAGGAAATATGAGGTAAGTTTCGACAATTATGTTTAACTACAGCTTTGTAATAACTCACAATAACAATAATAATGAAAAGGATGATGATGATGATACAAACATTGTCATCATTATCATCACCATTATAATTGTCAATGCAATTATCATTATTATGGAATCATTGTTTTTGGATCAGAGTTTAACAAGGGGCCCCTTACAAAAATAGTGCTTATTTTATATCTATTTTTAAACTATTTTTTCTCCCTACTTTTTGTGTATTTTTTCTCTATTTTTTCAGACTATTTTAAAGTTACTTTTAAACTATTTTACACCTATTATTTTGAAACAAAAAATAGTCTGGTTGGCAAGTCATAACTACTGTATAGATAGCTTTAAAATAGCTTTAACATAGAGAAAATGTGTATGCAATTTGATGATAAAATAGGATTAAAATAGCATTAATGAAATATTAGTTATAAAAGAAAATAGACATAAAACAGGGATAAAATAGAGAAAAAATACCAAAAATAGGGAAAAATAGAATATAAATACATTTAAAATAGGTTTGAAATATACAAAAGATAGGAATAAAGGAGGAATAAAAGTTGAAAAAATAGGAATCAAATACCTATAAAATAGGTCTAAGAGACATAAAATAGACATAAAACAGGGATAAAATAGGAAAAAAATTTAAAAAAATAGATTATAAATACACTTAAAATAGGTTTAAAATAGAGCCTCATGTATAAACATTCCTAGGAAAAAACGTAATTCCTAGGAATAAGAGGTGTGAATTTTCATGGTAAATTTGAAATGGGAATTCCTAGGAATTCCCAACTGTAACAACACTCACAGGTTCAAAAACCTAGAAATTCCCAGAAATTCCAAGTTAATTGTCAACAGGACTTTGAATTACAAGGAATTCCAACTCAGAGCACCAACGACTTTCCCTAAAAGACTGTAAATCTAAAAACTTGCTAGAAATTCCTAAGAATTTTCATTAATTTCTAGGAATGTTTAAGAATTACTGGGAATTTTAAGAAAAAAATTGAGGTAACTAACATTAAATAAATACTAAAAATTTAAAATCCCAACTAAAAATTCAAGTATTCAATGAAATTTATTTACATACTTACCTCAGGTTTAAGTGTAAAATATTTTTGATTTTATATTAACATCAACAAGTAGTAATATTGGGATGGAATTTGATTTCTTATTCTTTTCTTGAAAACTTCATAAGAATTATCTTCAATTACAGCTATTTATAAAAAGATATTCCTAATCAATCATTAAATTTGGTTTGACACAAATTGTCAATAAAATCTGTTGATTCTTTCCCATAAAATACAATAACTTGAATTATATTTACTGCAATAAATACAGTACTATCAGTCAAAAAATAGTCTTTAAAGGAATCATTTTCATATTTTCCAAAGGAAATGGCCATAGTATGTCCTATCAGCAGAAAATGTAAATAAAACGGCCTATTTTATCACTATTTTACTGATGTAGGAAATAAAATAGTGTACGATCGTCAGTTAACACACTCCATGTTGGATAGAACATGTTTATTACAAAACGTAGGTTCGCACTGCGTGCGGAGGAATGGATACTACAAATAGGATTAAAATAGTCTGTTTTGCTGGTTATATTTCCACTTGTTTAGAGAAAATAGAAATAAAATACACCACCTTGTTCAATCTTGCTTTAAAATAGGTTTAAATTAAAAGTAAAACACAATTAAGATAGAGGCTCTATTTTCCTCATCAGGTAAAATAGGAATAAAATATAAGTCTCAGAGAATAAAATATTATAAAAATAGATGTGATAGCATTAAAATAGACATAAAATATAAACAAAATAGGATTGTTTTGCAAGGGGGAAGATTATTTGTGACCAAGGAGAATTTGGACCAAGAGATCTGAGGTTCTCTTGTTCAGGGGTTAATGACAACCATCAAACTTTTAGTTTGTCTATTTTAGCAGTTTTTCTTTGAGATGTTTTATAATACTCCACTGTTGCATTTGAGAAAAATAGCAGTGAGGGAGAGTAACTTTCAGGGAAAACGTCTGGAGAAAGGCTGTTTAAAACATAGCCTTAGCACAACTTTTGGGGTAAATTCGTACTTGTTCTGTTTTACTCTCTTCCTGCTCCTGACCCCTTGCCACCTGAAAAAAATCGGACATATTCCCGCCCCTGTTTGCTACTTTTCATTGTACTTATGTGTGGTGAGGTCATTTCTTTGGTTATTGAAATGGAAGTTGTTATCACTGGATCAACTCAAAAAAGATAATTGGCTATTCTAACTTTCCAACATTTAAGTTAATGTGGAACTTTGGTGACACTAATAAAAAACCAAGTCAAGTTAGGTTTGGGTCCTGGATGTGAGAATGTGGATGTTAATAACTTAATGTCTGTTATTTTTATCAGGTAAAGCTTGTTGAAAACAATTGGAGAGTAGGAAACACCTCTGGGCGGCAACCTTCAAGTTACGAAATTATTGTTGTATTAAGTCATTTGACGTCACTGCGTATCAGGGCCAAGTGGACAACTCTTACAACAAAATTGTTCAGCCGATTGGCTGATATTAAACTAACTCTTAGTAACAGGTGTGTACTACATTGATTACCCTAGAGTTTAAATGCTATAATTTTTAGGCTGTAAGTAAATGAGTGCTTTACCATTGATCTTTTTGGGTGTGGTTAAAGAAGTAATAATGTCTGTAGTGTATTGAGAACATTATATAAGTACTTGTATCAATGATAGTAATCTTACTGTAGGACTACTGAATGATGTGAAAGTACTGTAATCAAGTAACATGACGGTACCAGCTCATTAGATACTTGATCGATGAATAAAGACAGAATATAGAAAGCAATTGAAGAGTGAGGAGTCTGTATGATGTCTAAACGATCTGGCATAAATATTCTGTCTTAATGGTGTGTAAAAGTTTTTTCTTCTAGCCAGGGTCTTTGAGTAAATGATGTCTAAAAAATCTGGCATAAATATTCTTTCTTAATGGTGCGTAAATGTTTTTTCCTCAAGCCAGGGTCTTTAAGAGTAAGTATGATGTTTTGCAGCATCCAGTCGCACCCTAGTTTCTTTCAAAACCGTTTCTTGGTCTTGTCACACAGCAAGAGCTTTAAATAATTTACTTGGATAAAATGATTTTAATGTAGATTGATTTTATTTTTTAGGAGCAGTGTGATTCCTGGGGCAAAAAGTGCTTTAAACATTGAGAATTGTTCATGCCCCGTGGAGTACAAAGGACAGTTTTGTGAACAATGCGCCAATGGTTACACACGTGTCACACCAAAGGGAGGACCTTACGTGACATGTGTGCCGTGCGAGTGTAACGGACACTCAGACAAGTGTGACACTGAGACTGGAGTGTGTCTGGACTGTCAACACAACACCACAGGTATTAGCCATGAAAATAAAAGAAGCGAAAAATTTCTTGGAAGGAAGAAATTGGATAAATGAGATAGGAGGAGTGCGCAAATATTGTTGAGGCCAGGGAGAATAGAGTCCTTAAACTTGGTTGTATGTCGGAGAAATAAGAACTTTGAAATACACAGTGTACAACTCACGAGATTGGATTCCTATGCCCTGGTACGATTTATGCACGACCATTTTCCTTTAAGTAATATGCTTATCTTGATTTAAATTGACCAAACATATAATTAGTTGCTTCTTTTAATTAGTGTCCTGTGTGAATTTTGTTATTTTTATCAGGTGAAGATTGTGAAAAGTGTTTAGATGGTTGGTATGGCAACGCCACTAATGCCACACTTACCGACTGCAGCCCGTGCCCATGCCCCAGCGGACCATTTGCCGTCAATCAATTCGCTAAGACCTGTGTACTTTCAAGTGACGGTCTACCAACCTGTGTGAACTGCACTGTGGGTCACGAGGGACGGTATTGTGAACGATGTATGGACGGTTACTTTGGACGGCCAAAGGTAAGTGTGAGGCTCAGTGAGATGTGGAACTTCGATAAACGACATTCCTTCTGAGTGTCGTAAAACCAAAAACCAAAGTAATCAAAATGATCCATCAGAATATAGGAAAATGCGCTTGAAACCAACGTGAACTGGAAGGAATTACATTCAATCAGAAGCACGTAGTGAGTGACTCAGAGTGACTCCGGCCAGTTGCTACTAGTTTCAGCTTTATAGCCGTTTGGTTTAGAGAGTTGCACCAAGTTCACATGCCCATCACAAAACGCACTTAAGCAAAGCAAACCAATGCAATTTGAAGGTCCTGGATGTTAATCCTAAGTTAGTAACATGTATGCAATAGATCCCTCTCTGATCGATTAACTGTGGCCCAGGTTCGATTTCCGGACCTGGTGTCACATGTGGGTTGAATTTGTAGTTGGTTTTCTTCCTTGCTCTGACGGTTTATCTCCGGGTCCGCCGGTTTTCCTCCCTCCACAAAACCAACGTTTTAAATTCCAATTAGACCCTGAAACAGTGAATAAGAAGAGCTACCTCGTAAAACGTCCACTGCTAAATTCCATTTATTTTATTTATTTTATCTCTATCTCCGTCTGTTATGCCATTTTAGTCCTCAGCATTTTGGAAATTTCACCACATTTTGGTTAGATCAAGAAGAAACTCATCTTCAATTTTTGATGTGTTTAGGGCGCCTTAATTTATTATTCATACAATAACACTGTCCTTTTACAAAAAACTATACTTTTTATTCATTTATGCATTTTAACAGGAACAGGATAGTCAATGTCACAAGTGTAACTGTAACAACAACATAGATCCTGCAGCCACCGGTAATTGCAACACCACGACAGGCGAATGCCTTAAGTGTCTTTACAATACCACAGGGTCTAACTGTCAGTGGTGTGCACCAGGATACCATGGAAATGCATTGAACAAAACTTGTACACGTAAGTATGTTTTTTTTGTAAAGACCTTCGCCCCATGTTGGTAAGGCGAGTTCCAACAGATCACTACATTGAAGCATTGATCAAAGATCAAAGCGCAATCATATTTGGGAGATTGCAACGTTAAAGTGTAAATAAGCCTCTCTCCCTCCCACCTTAAGACCCCAGCCTGTCAGAGGTGTTTTGCTTTTTATGGAATGACGACACGCTTGACTTAACCAGCCAGATGTTTTAATGTGTGTAGCGGAACTAAGTACAAAGGATCCAGGTTGAAAGGCCCATCAGAACAGACGCAAACTGTACAAGAGAAGAGAGGGCCATTGCCAATAGAAAGCAAACACCCCCACATCAGCACGAAAAACACTCCTGGGCGAGTCTTTTTTTGGGATCAGCTGACACTCCATCTGATCGGTGGAGAGGGTGGCATGAGACTTTTGTAACCAACCGCAGTTTTAAACAAAGCACTGTGGCATTTTTGTTAACTCTCTAAAATCTCCATTTGGAATCGACTTTCAGGTTGCAACTGTTCGGCTGTTTTTTCACTGAATAATGAGTGTGACAACATGACTGGTTCGTGTTACTGCCATCCTTATGTGACAGGAAAGTTCTGTGACAGATGTGAACAGAACGCTTTTAATTATACCGCGTCTGGTTGTTTGCCTTGTAATTGTAACAATGATGGTTCAGTTGATCTCCAGTGTGACTCGGTAGGCGATTAACAATCTCTTTTTGAATCGTTTTTTTGTAGATTTTCAAGTATCATAGTCGTACCTCATGCATTGTTTCTTAAAAATGTTTGCCTAAACTTTCTAGGTCCAGTTTGTTAATCCTTGTTAACCTTCTCTCTGATCGATCCTTCAAAAAAGTCTCTTTTTACATCCAGGGTACCCCTGTTTATATAGTTTTCCACTAATTTAAGGCAAAATTCTACTTTAAAATATGACTTTTGTATTTCCTTTTTTCACATTAATTTAGATACATGGAAATTGCAGCTGTAAACCAAACGTGATTGGTAAAAAGTGTGACATTTGTACTGCGGGCTTATTTGATGTTCAGAAAGGTTGTTTGGGTAAGACTTCTTTTCTAATAACTAATTCAACCGATTCAAATTCAGACAAGTCAGTAACTTGATGGTTTTTGTGTAAACTGTGCAACCGTAGCTTGACTTTTTACCTAGCTGTAATAGGGATTATTTTCAAGCTCAAAGGCTTTAAAGCATTTCAGGTCAAGGGAACAACCAAATTTCATAGGGATGCATGGGGCTGAAACTGTATGTGAGAAGAATGCAATAACTGAAACAGATTGCACACCCTCTTCCTGTTAAATGACGGTTTGAAGTTTTCTCATAGATAGATAGATAGATAGATAGATAGATAGATAGATAGATAGATAGATAGATATATATATATCTATGAGAAAACTTTGCTTTGCTTTCGTGTCCAAATTGAGCACTCTACTAGGATGAGTCATTGCTGCTAGCATTATGCATGCTCACTAGTTTTTCTAGTTTGAGCACTCTGGCATGGCTTAGATGATCCCACATGTGTGAGATCACTTGGGGTGGCTATATGGCCTCACCTCCACCTCACTGCACTGATGAGGCCCTGAAGGCCGAAACAGTACTGTCTACAGTTAGTTATATATATATATATATATAAATATGTATATTTTTTTTGTGACAAGCTCCAATTAGAAGTTATTAAGATTCAAATATTAGTTACTTCGCTTTCATAATAATTAAATTTATTTACCTTGATTACCAAGTGTGTCTACGCAAGTCTTGTTTTGTGGATTTGAAGTTTTAACGAAAATGCTTGCTCAGCACAATGCTAACTAGCAAACGGACGTGCTTTAAGTCACATCACTCGAAAAAAGACGATCATTTTCATATAGCGAAAAGAGAGTTAAAGGGAAATTCTGTACAGCTCACTGACAGAATGTTAAAGGGAAGTTCCTTATAGCTCACTGAGAGAATGTAAAGGGGAAATCTCGTAAAGCTTACATGCAGGAAGAATGGGAAAGGAAAATCTCAAATAGCTAACTGAAGGAATGCAAAAAGGATATCCTGTATAGCTCACTAAGAAGAGGTAAAATGGAAATCTCGTTAAACTTGCTGCAAGAATGTAACAGGGAAATTCTGTATAGCTCACTAAACTCTAAGGAGGTAGTCGCCACTGACCAGGTAGGAACGAGACAGTTTGTTGAGTGTATGGCAATATAACGTACAACCAGTTGCTATATTTGTTTTTCAGTTTGTAACTGTAGCTCTGTGGGGTCAAACAACCCTGGTGAATGTGACAGATATAGCGGACAATGTTCCTGCAAGTCTAATGTGATTGGTCGCACTTGTGATTACTGTAAACCTAACTATTTTAACTTCACTTCTGGTCAAGGTTGTCAAGGTAAGGCAAACAAATTTGTTGTATTTAAACAAAATACTGAGACCAAAGTAAAACGTTTATTTTTGGAGAAAACACTGATCCATATTTTTCCCCGTGGAATATAATCCACAATGAAGCAAAGTTTAGCGATTAAACAAACTCCACAAAGTTTACGAAGGCCATTGGGAAAAAAACTTTGTCAATATCAGTATCTGGGCACCTACCCCTCCCCTAACCCAGCATTAACCTTAACTTGTTGTCAATTGACTGTTGTTGAGTTAGGGGAGGGTTAAGTGGGCAGTTGCCCAGATACTGATATTGATCCAAAAACTTAACCACTCAAAATAAAGAGCCATTTAGAATTAATACTGAGAGGATAAGGCGTAACCCACCAGGACCATTAGTAGCTCAAAAAAACAAGCATGAACTAGTCTGGCTTGCTTTTATTTTTTCGTATGGCTGCTTACAAAGGGGCTCAAGGTTTTTTTTAATATATACAACCACAGCGTCCAGCAGAGAAAAACATAGGGATGCATTGTTGTTCTCGAAACTCTTTCACTTATATATTGTGTCAACTTTCAGCTTGCAACTGTTCGATTGTTGGTGCAGTGAACAGCCAGTGTAACAACATGACTGGTTTGTGTTCCTGTCATTCTCATGTGACGGGAAAGTTGTGTGACAGATGTGAACAGAACGCTTTCAATTATACGTCTTCTGGTTGTACGCCTTGTAACTGTGATATTGAAGGCTCCACTGATCTTCAGTGTGACTTGGTAAGCATACACAGTCTCTTTTTCATTCGTTAAATCATAACCATTACCATTTCCTTAAATGTGATTGGTGCATTAGCTGCTTTATTTTTCACTAATCATTCTGTAGAGCTGTAATTGGACAAAAGCCTATAACTGGATACCTCTATTCACACAGTTGAAGCAGACAATTATACTTAGTCCTTTCAGCCAAATCCACCAATCACAGAATTGATCTCAATAACCATAGCAACAACCTTTTAAACAAAAGAAAGACTAAGGAATTCCCAAAATTGATGAATTTTTTACTGTAGACATTTTTTCTACCGGAGATATTTGTCCTAATGTATTTGTTGTTTTCAGAAATTGTAACGGTTATGATTAATTGGTAAAAGGACTTCGTGTCGTCCAATTCTGTCTGTAATCATACTCGTGATTAACAACCCATACTCCCATTCGCGGTTGCCGGATTTTGTTTCTCACTGGTATCATTACAGACCGAATTGGACTCCACTCAAACCTATTACCATTATAAATATGGAGGTTTTTTAGGTAACTAGGTCATGCATTATGTATCCTAAAACATTGCCTAGACCTATCAGTGCCTTTTTGTAATACGCATAATGTTACATCTATTATGGAGCGCTCCTCCTTCTTTAACGATCCTCGTCACTTCTCGCTTTTCTCTTTACCTTTCCTCAACGAAGAAAGAATTATTTTAAAGTCTCCTCCTATCTGGACCTGTCTGAAGGCAACAACACTGTGAGGTAGTTCTTTCATGGAACGTGGCTTAGTGTTAAGGACATTTATGTTGGGAACATTTATATCCATCTCGGAAAGCATTTGTTATATATTTGGCAATATTTTCTTTCCTTATATCACATGATTAGACATACGGGAACTGTAGCTGTAGACAGAAATTGATTGGTAAGAAGTGTGATGTGTGCAGTCCAGGCTTCTTCGATGCAAAGCAGGGTTGTTTAGGTACGATTTCTATAATAATTGATTTGTAAGAAATAAGAATTTCTCAAATGGCTATTGTAAGCTGAACAATTATGGTCAAGACGGATAAGAATTTTGTGATAGCTGAAACGCACCCCACCCGGACACCACGTTTTCTCAGGCTACAGAAAAAGTGTGTAATCATGTACCTGATACTGCTACTAAGCGATCTCCATTTTATAGGGTCCGTAAATCAGTCTTCAAGAATCGAAACTAAAACTGCTTTAACCTTAGAATATTTCAGATATTCTGAAGGGAAACTTTTGAGAATAATACCTTTCCAGATGATCATAATTTGATTTGCAGCAGTACCAAATAAAAATAATAATAATAATAATAATAATAATAATAATAATAATAATAATAATAATAATAATAATAATAATAAAGAGGATGACGATAATAATGATGAAACGGCTAGTCATCACCGTGATCATGAGTAGCCGTTTCATTATTATTATCGTCATCCTCTTTATTATTGTTATTATTATTATTATTATTATTATTATTATTATTATTATTATTATTATTATTATTATTATTATGGAGCAGTTATCAATTGGCATCGAAAGTCTCCTTCGCAGCCGTTGTTTGGTCTCGTCACGCAACGTAGTGGGGGAGAGAACGTTACGTGACGAGACCAAAATAGACTAAGATTGCTTTGGTTTTGCTTTACGTTGTCCCCTGATTGGCTTAGAAAACTCGAGCCACAAAGCGGATCAATCCTTTTGATGTTTTCCCCGCTCTGATTGGCCGATATGATTCATTTGCCTATGGTTTCTCGACGCTCAGTCGAAAGGCGCTCTCTTTATCATAGCTATATTGTACTAAAGGTCACATCATTTTTTTATGTAGCGTGCAACTGTAGCACAGTTGGATCCAAAAATCCTGATCAGTGTGACAGAAATAGTGGACAATGTTCCTGCAAGCCTAATGTTATTGGTCGCACTTGTGATCAGTGTAGGCCAGACTATTTTAACTTCGCCTCCGGTCAGGGTTGCCAAGGTATGCCAGTTCGTGATATGCAGTACGTGCAAATTTAAATTACCTACAATAGATGAAATGATTGAGATTTTATGCGGAGAACGTAAATTGGATATAGCAAAAACAAGAAATTTTTCTTAGGTTTTTTTTGTGCCTCCTTGGGAAAAAATCCCCAAAATGAAAAGGGGAGGCTAGAGTCATTTTGCATTAATTTGGCCTGGTTTTAACAAAACGTTTTAAGGCTAGCTTTCATCTCTCCTTAAATTAGAACAGATAAGACCCAAATTTCTTCAAATCATAGAAAAGGCCTGAGCATCCAATTCTTCTTCAATTCTTTTCGTCTTTTTTGTTTTTTTGTTTTTACTTCTTTCAGATTGTGCTTGTTTTTTACCTGGTGTCAACACTTCAGCGCACAGTGCCCAATGTGACAGAGATACTGGTCAATGTTTCTGTAACAGTGGTGTGCTAGGAAGGACTTGTGATATGTGCCGTAATCCTTCCATGAAATTAGGTTCCGTCAGTGAGGTTGGGTGTGTAGGTATGTTATTATGACTAAAAGGAAACACATACTCCAGAAATCATATGTTCTTTATCTCCGCCATTACAAAGTGTGTACTGACAAAATTACGACACTGATTGCGTATTGCTATTCCAATGAGTTAACTAACTTTCGATAATTGTTTTCAAATTAACTGAAAATTGGACTACAGATGCCATCATTGTAAAATGCGCCTAACAACTTAGCTGCTCACCAAAAAACGTAACAAATTCGTACTCCTCTTCTTTTTATCTCCATTTTGAATCTTACGCACAACTTTGACCGCTTACCCATGAAGCAAGAGAGTCACACCCCACCTTTTTTCGTCCCTTGGCAATGGCAAACTTTTCGAATAATGATTTAGAACTTTCTTAAAACGCAAAATGATTTTTATCGCGTGTTGTGGTTCGTTCTACTTAAAAGCCAAGGTGACCACTTAAAAACCTTTTTTAAGTGCTCATCTTTCTCAAGTGTACACTTTCAGATTCGGTAAAGTGCGCACTTTCATATTGGTAAAACTTTGCACCTTCAGACATTTTGAAGTGCTCAGTTTTAAGTTTGTAAAATTATGCACTTGAAGTGTTCTTTACGTGCATCATGATTCTTTTAGATTCGATGAAGTCCTCACTTTGATTTTGAAAGTGAGCACTGTAAGACTTGTTTGAATGAACACTTTTGATTTTAAAATGAACACTTTAAGACTTATTTAAGTGCTCATCTAACGACTTGCTCAAGTGTTCACTCTTGTACTCGATAAAGCTACGCACCTTAAGACTCTTTCAAGAGCTCAGAAAGGTTATCAAGGTGTGCACTGGAAGAATCCATTAAGTGCCCTTCTTCAGACTCGATGAAGTGCTTGCAACAATACTGTTGAATAGTGCTCCTCAAGACTCTTTTTAAGTGTGCTCTTTTCGACTTAGATTCTTTAAAGGGCTCATTTAAAACTCTTATACTTGCGAACTTTAGAACTCATTAAGTAAGCACTGATACGTTCTTTGAGATGGGGATCTTCGCGAGTCTTAGAGTGCAGATTTTAAGGCTTGGAAAAGAATGCTCTCTAAAACTTATGTAAAAAAAGCACTGGGAAAATTTTGACTGAAGCCTGTGAGACCTCTTCCGTCGGCCATTTTTTATTATGTTGCATATGTCCTCATTCGGCTTCTATAATGTATTTTGTAATTGAAACTTCAAGTTTTTACTTTGTTTAGTGGTATTTTACTTTTCAGTTCTCAAGTACTCACTCGTGATGCTCGGTCGCACAACAGCAGTGAGGATGGGAATCTAACTCTGTGACTGAGGAAGAAAACTGATAACTATTTGTATTTATGAAGATAACAATAATATGTCATTTCAGTAGACACTTGTCGTAAACTTGTTACGAAGAGTCCTTCCAGCAGGTTTTGGCGAAGATGGCAACACGTTTATTTTGATAAAATGATGAAGACAGCCATCATTACTTATCCTATCTTTTAACTATGGCATAATGACCGATTTTTCTTTTTTTTTTGTATAATAATCACGTATATGCATGTTTCAAAATGTTCTATGTATACAGATGCACTGCCTAAGAATCATTTATCATGAATTTATGAATAATTTGCTCTCGTATTATTCTTTTAGGATGATGCATTGACTTGACGCCTGAAAATATTGACCAGAGTTCCTATTTCAGCGACTTGGGTGTCTCAAGGAATACCTCGTGTTCTTCAAATGGGCATTGTTTATGTTTATTAGGTCGTTGTGTTACGTAGCCAATTCCAAGATCTCTTTGGAAAAAAGGTCTTTTGAACCACGGCTTAAAACTTGTTATGTGCAAATGACTCAAATTAAGTTCCTGGTGTGTATGAGAAATGACGCACAATTTAGGAATAAAGGACTGAAAGTGCATGGTGTTTTCCTGTTTTTTGTCGTTCTTGTTTTTGCTTTCACTTTCCTCCGCTAAGAGAGGAAATACTATTTCAAGGGTTATTTACACAAAATTGACCCAGAAGGAGCTGGACTGGGGTGCACTGAGGTGGTTCTGTTTAGTTGGGGTTGATAACGGTTAAGTGGGCCGTTTTGTAGTGGATTGGACAAGATTAGGTCAGAATCAAGGTTAATCAGAACGGGGGATTGGCGTAGATAGATTGGAATGGGTTGGATTGGATTAGGGTGGATTGGCTTACTCAGAGTGAATTGAGAAGGATTGAAGTGAATGAAAGCGATTGGAAAGATGTTATTACTTACCCAGGTGTATTAGGAGAATTGAAGGAAAGTATTGAAGTGGATTGGCATCGATCAGAGCGAATTAAAGTGGGCTGGAGGGATTTAAGTGAATAGCGGTAGCATATTTAATAAATAGAATTTATTTATACCGCGCAAATTCAACTATGCAGTTTTCAAATGCGCCTTACAATTAAAGATCAAAAATTAAAATACCATATATTAAATATAACAATATATAGTCAAAATTACACGAATGAATAATTATCCAGTCTATAAATTACAATACTATATCAAAAAAGGCCTTTTTTAAAAAGGTGAGTTGAAGTGAATTGGGATGGTGTAAAGTGGATTGAAGTAGGTTACACCTTGCGGCTACGAAGATACCAAACCTGCATGGCACAGGCCAAGAAACTAGTTATTTCAGCACTTGAAGAGTGACAAAACATGAATTTGTGGGTGAGATGAATATCACTTTACCTGTTAGAAATAACTTCAGCCATAAGCTTCCTTTGATAAGGCTGAAAAAGGTGATTTAAGGAACTACTCATGATTAAGACTTTCCTGTCTTCGGAACTGATGAATAATATTGCTGGTGCGAGATGAAATTCGTATTGTTATCAACCGCTCACTTGATACAGCTGAATCTTTCAAAGAAACCACAACAAGGGTGAACATGTGGATTCGATACATGAAAGTAAATGAAGAGCAGGTTATAACATTACGAATGACTGAGCATTGTTTTCACTTATTAATCCTCTTGGCAGAAGACGAAGCATAAAGTTAGCACCTTTAGACCAATACACCATTAAGTTACTTCTGGGTTCTAAGTTTCAAAATTTGTAAGATTCATATTATAAAAATCGAGCAGGTGGAGAAAATTATAGCCTGTTGGCTGGCTACGGCACTGGCTAATACTCGCTGTGCGGTAATGATTTAGCTTTCTCATTGTTAGGTTAAACACTTTGAAGCAGTTACTTTGACTTGGTAAACGGAACTCCAATCTTAAGCGAGAATACTATGACCAGATAATTAACCTCGGTTATATTGAATGTTGATACTTAACAAAACAGCAGGGCCCAATTGTATACTGAAAGGTCGGATAACGCTATCCAACTGATAAATCCGGCGAAAAAGAGATAGCAAAACGTATAGCGTTAACCACCGTATAGAGTTTTATCCAGTGGATATCGTTATCCAGCCTTTGAACAACCGGGGCCAGATGTTAAAATTAAGCATTTGGGTGCATGTTGCCGTGTGTTGCCAGAAGTTATCAATTAAAAAACGTACTAACTCGCCACATTGCTTACTCGTATAAAGCTCTAATGGCGAGAAAATTATGCGAAACTGAAAGGAAAATTTCAAGCCTTTCTGTTATCATTCTTTAGTAACTCGTGGCTATCCCCATGAGCTCCAGTTTCTAAGGGAGCGCAAGTGCTCTCCGTTTGTTTGCGCTCCGTTGAGCATCGCTTTTGAACGCTTCAGCCTCATAAATTTTCCATTATTGACGACTTCTTGTCAGAGCTTTATATTAGAGTAACATTTCTTCAAGTTTTGGATTACTTGTTGATTCGCTTATTATACTAAGCCTTATTCCGGCATTCCACATTTCACCATTCCAGAATTATTATATTTACGATTATCCAAAAATCGCTAGGGACTGGTAAGTAAATCGGAATCGTGAATCACGGGAAGGAAATATCAGCCAAAATGGCTGTGTTGCATGAAGGTGTTGAACACCTTCTCGCCATAATTTCCTCGTTTTCAAAGTCGCACATAGCTCCTTTGTGCACTGCGATTGTTAAAAGGTAAGTTTGTTAACTACTTATCTTACATTCATCGTGATAATAGCACTTATTGGGTTAGTCTCTCCGAGAAAAGATCAGGCAATTCTCTATGAAATCGAAATTGATACATGCATATGTAGTAGCTACATTCAGGTGATGATAACACATCTGTTGAGTCGTAAACAGTACACTGCCCTCGCGTTATAACTACAGGTTTTAAAATCTTGTATCTCCAGGTCTTCTCATATGAGCGATCGAGCCATCTTACTCCCTGCTAAATTTCCAGTTATGTTGACTCGCAGGGAATATCTCAAATTTAAAGTTATTTTTTATTATTTTTGACATACACATGTACGGTGGAAGCTTACTCTGCAAATAAACGTTTGAGTCTGCATAACTTTCTAAGGACGTGCATGGAAACAAATTATTTTTATTGAGTTATCAGTAGCAGTATGGGGCAATTTATCGCATTGGTAGCAATTCCATAATACAGTCATAATTTAAATGCTTTGCTTCTTTCAAGTCCTTTTCTGTGGACATCATCCTCTAGAGCTAAGCTTATACGATGTATGGCTGCTAGATTTTATATAGAGGATGTTAAGGAAACTCTATGTGAAAGGCCATTCTTTAACTTTCACTTTAATGCTATAGGAAATCTTTTGTACACCCTCTTCATTGCCTGGAAATTTCTTTCTTTGATCATATTATTATTTGTAGTGAAAATATCATACTTGGAGATGATGATCGTGAAGGATTTTTTCATTCTTTTGTGGCACTGTCTGCTCATTACATTGGATTAAATGTTACACAGTGTAAGTATGATGAAAACTTTTCCTTCCATCTTATACACTATAGGTGGTAATTTTCTTCATGAAGTTGGTGTGAATTAGTTTTGCAGTGGAATTGTACTTGTACTTATAAGTAAGTCATCATCAAAGGGTTAGATATCGATAAGTATTACTCCAAGCACCTCTCAGTGTATGATCCTCTGTAGATAAAATTTGTGTACTCTCTGCCTCTTGAGAAGTGATTAACCTCAAGACCCCCTATACACAGAATGTCACTGAGCCTCATGTGACACCAAGAATTTCACTTTCTAACATACTCATACATGTAGCAGATAAATTTCTTCCTTGTTTGCAGAAAATTGTATTTTTCAAGGAAAAGTTCAATGTCAGCAAGTTGAGCAGCTAAGCATTGATTTCTTAACACTTTCCTTTGAGAATTAATGCATGCACGTCTACTTTTAGCTTTCTTTAATATTATAAACAATTACACCTGTGCAAGTACAAATGTATGCAAATGGAAAATGAAATAGAAGCAATCTATTTTTTCAATAGTCTTGATACATACATAAATAAAAGTAATTTAACCCTTATACTCCCATGAGTTACCAAGAGAGAATTTCTCCTTACAGTGTCAATGCAATATCAAGCAGACAAGTGATGGGGATAAAGAAAAATAACCATAAGGGGATTTTTAGTTGATCCAATACCAAATTCTCCAAACTAACATCATA